TTTGTTAAAATGTTTAATGAGAACATGCATAATTTATGCCCTTGTCCTGGTTTGAAGAGTTATCGCCTTTTAATTTTATTCAATAACAAGAGGCCCAGGGGCCACATCGCCCACCTGAGCACATCGGCTAGGAAAAAGCACATGAGGATGATTTCACATGAGTTTATCTTTCCTGCCCAATGGTTCTTGAGAAAAAGATTTTTAAAGATTTTTCCTATATATTCCCATGTAAAACTTTGATGGCCATTTTGGCCCCACCCTACCCCGGAGGTCAAATTTAACAAACTTAAATCTACATTACCTGAGGATAATTCCTCATAAGTTTCATCTTTCCTGACCCAGTGATTTTTGAGAAGAAGTTTTTTAAAGACTTTTCCCATATACTCTTATGTAAAACTTTGATCTGCCATTTTGGCCCCACCATCCCCCCGTGGGTCATGATTTGAACAAACTTGAATTTACACTCCTGAGGATATTACATAAGTTTCATCTTTCCTGGTCCAGTGGTTCTTGAGAAGAAGATTTTTTAAAAATGCCATTAATTTTTCTCTAGTTCATAATTATCTCCCCTTGGAAAAGGGTGTGGCCCTTCATTTGAACAAAAAATTCCTTTACCCAAGGTATTTTAGCAAGTTTGATTGAAATTGGCCCAGTGGTTCTTGAGAAGAAGATGAAAATGTGAAAAGTTTACGACAACGACGACAACAAAGGACAAATTTTGATCATAAAAGCTCACTTGACCTTCGGCTCAGGTGAGCTAAAAAAAAGAAAAAAATTCTCGGTATAAAACCCGGGAAAGGGGCCCATGCAATTCACTATCGCATCATCGGCGCGATTAGCGATGATATGAAGCGACGGTGCAGTTACGATGAAGCGATGGGGGATATGGCGCGTTGACGAATATGTATGGCCGATAATGCGATGACAAAGGTTAGTCGATAGAGCGATAATGCAACGATGATGGCGCGATTACGATGAAGGGATATTCATTATCGTCATCGCACCATCTCATCGCGCTATCGCACCTAGGCTTCATCGTATCAACCATCGCTTTGTCGTCATCGCATTATCGCGCTCGATGATGCGATAGTGAATTGCTGGCCCCCCGGATTTATCCTGAGATATTTTTCTACTTTTATTTTATGCTCACCTACCGAAGGCTCAAGTGAGCTTTTATGATCAAAATTTGTCCTTTGTTGTGTGTTGTCGTAAACTTTTCACATTTTCATCTTCTTCTCAAGAACCACTGGGCCAATTTAATCAAACTTGCTACAAAGTATCCTTGGGTAAAGGAAATTTAAAATTTTTTCAAATGAAGGGCCCCCCCTTTTTCCCAAAGAAAAACTAAAAAAAATTAATGGCATTTTTAAAAAAACTTTTTCAAGAACCACTGGACCAGGAAAGATGAAACTTATGTGGAATCATCCTCAGGTAGTGTAAATTCAAGTTTGTTCAAATCATGACCCACGGGGGTATGGTGGGGCCAAAATGGCAGATCAAAGTTTTACATAAGAGTATATGGGACAAGTCTTTAAAAATCTTCTTCTCAAAAATCACTGGGTCAGGAAAGTATGAGAACTTATAGGAATTTATCCTCAGGTAATGTAGATTTAAGTTTGTTCAAATTATGACCTCCGGGGTAGGGTGGGGCCAAAATGGCCGATCAAAGTTTTACATGGGAATATATAGGAAAAATCTTTAAAAATCTTTTTCTCAAGAACCATTGAGACAGGAAAGATGAAACTCATGTGAAATCATCCTCATGTGCTTTTTCCTAGCCGATGTGCTCAGGTGGGCGATGTGGCCCCTGGGCCTCTTGTTATTGAATAAAATTAAAAGGCGATAACTCTTCAAACCAGGACAAGGGCATAAATTATGCATGTTCTACACTTACATACTGATCTTAAGCATAAATATTATAACAGAGTTTTCAGTCTATTCATATCTGTTATGCATTCCATTGAATCTGAGGCAAATATGGGGCGGATACCTGAAGTGTGGAGAACTTAAGACCATGCTTATGATGAGATCAAAAGACAAAAGGTCAAGGTTGCAAGATCATTTAACCACTAGAAGCATAGACTGGGTTACAACTTTAATTGAATTATGTCTTTAAATGAACATAATCCTTTTTGGTTTTGATTTCTGTCCTTATTCTTAAGTCCCTGAATTACCTTGTTTAATTCATCAAACTAACTCCCGAAATATTGGGAAGTTCTTCATATACAATCCTAATTTCTATCCCATTTTTACATTGTGTTTAAATCCCGTTTTTGTGTTTCTAACAATATTTTGTTTTGTTTCAGACAAGGCATCTGTCAGCAAACTCTAAAGGACCCCTGTGTTCTCATCACCAACGATGATTTCTACCGCGTACCAGCCATATCATCAGGTGTCTCAGCCAGTCAGCAGTCTTACTATCATACGGGACCTTCCCTTGGTTTGGAGGAAGATCTTCCCATTCCTGATTTCAACCATCTTCCTTCCAGCCTGGAGGAAGAAGATAACAACAACCACACCAATACTCTAAGGTCCGCAATTTTCCAGAAGATCCTTAACAGCTATCCGCAGCTCAACAGAAAACTGAAGAGGAGCCATCATGTTGCTAAGAAGTTTCAGCAGACACCAAGCAACCTATCCGACTGTGTTTACCAAACTTCGTTGACCCCTGACACTACTGATGATGGCACCTTTAGTGACCTGGCGTCCAGCATCATGGATGACGAGTTTTACGGCGGATACTGCAGTTTCAGTGACAATGCCTCTGTGAATTCCAGCGGATCGATCTCTCCAAATTCCTCCGCGGTTGAACTTTTGCAACAAAAGCTTCTCTGTGACGTTGATGTGAAAACCGAGTGTTCGAAGTTCGAAGAAGTGTGCTCCAATTTGGACAAGATAAGCAAAACGTGTGACGAAACGACGAAATCGGTTACCTATGTTGTGAAGTCGATGCCCAAACCAGCTAAATACCAGTGTAATGTATGTGGGAAAATCTACAAAGGAAACACAAATCTCAACTACCATATGGCGACACACACCGGAGTACGTCCTCACAATTGTTCCGTCTGCGGGAAAGCCTTTACCCAGAAGTCCACACTGCGTACTCACTTCCGGATCCACACTGGCGAAAAACCGTACAAATGCAGGACTTGTGTGCGCGCATTCGCCGACTACTCCACGTGTATGAAGCATGAGCGTACCCACAGCGGTGAGAAGCCTTACGCATGCCCAGTGTGCGGGAAGTGTTTTGCCCAGTCCGGAAATATGCTCCGTCACCGCCAGACACACAAGAAAAACTGATGCAAGTGCTCACATTCTAATACTCCAAACACAAGTGCCAAGTCATTTTCAGAATCTCTGAATACAAACGAAAAATAAGAGGATGCAATCCATCAACAGACTTGTTCAAGAACATGTTTTTATTGTGTTGAAATGTTAATGCAGAACTCTCATTAACATTTCGTTTTCATAATGTTGAATGTTTGTGCAGAAAATTTTGTATAACATTTAATTAATGTCATGTGTTTTGAATGTATATAATTGTTTTGATGTTAAGGTGCTTTGAGATTATTTTGTAAGATATAATTATAATTACTGACTTGTTAATAAATATGAAAACTTTTACTGAAATTGTTTGAGTAATATTTTGCTATTCATAGAGATAGGAGAGAGCGGGATTTGAAAGCTATACATATATTATAAGGTACATGAAAGCAAATTCCTATGTACAACTTGGTATACATGTATATTGAATAATGAGTATTCGCATGTTAAAATGTTATTGGTATTTGCTGTTTTCAAATAGCTAAGCACTTTATCTTAAAAAAAGGAGGGGGATTCAAAATCGCAAATTCTACAGACATAAACATGCTTTAATTTGCATACAGTATCATACCATAATATCTAGAGTAACCAATTTAAAGAAGTGTAAGCGGGTTGCCAGTCCCGATAACACCAGACGGTTTTGTCGGGCATGGGGGTGATCCAGTCTCTATTGTTCACTAATGTCTTGACGAATTCTGTTTTGCCCGATTTCGAGGGTCCAGCAACCACCATGGTAAACTCGTGTTTCAATTGAAAAGAAGGGAGGGGTGTCTCCTCGGAATACATGTTGATCAATGAAGAAAAAGTTGGGTTCAGGGTCTTATTTATAGTTAACACAGAAATAGGCGTTTGGACTGTTGAATCTCGCCTCAACAAATGGGGCAAAACTGAAAGGAAGGAGCACACAAAGCACAGCAGCATACGTGTCCGCAAGGTAGAAAAACGATTTGTAATTCCTCGTCTAAACAAATGTGACATTTTCCTCGAGCCTGGACGTCTGGTTGTGGGTTCAGTAGAGGTTTGATCTCAGGTAAAGGTTTATATCCCTGCTGATCTAAACACGTAATAAACACATTCATCACCCACCCTCGTCCCTTATACAGATTGATGTAAGAACAATTGGGGTTCCAATAAGCATGTTCTACATAAGGATCGTCCTCGGGATCCTAATTAGAAAAAGTAAATCCACAATGAAAACAGGTAGCGTTATCTTTCACTCCCCTGTAGTAAAACCCGGCTCGAGCTAGGTCTGGTATTTTTCTTAAGTAGAGGTTCTGGCCATCCCTGCTCAAAAGTAGCTTCTCTCTTTGAGAGCCGAGCATACTGGGGATAACGCATGGGTTGATCTAGCAATTTCTCAGTCATGACTGAACTTTTGATTTGTATTGCTCCCCTTTTTATAGAGAAGAAGAAAAACAACAACACATAAAAAAAAACAATTCAATTTTTTTTTTAATTCAAAAAGTCAAACATATCAACATATCAATAACCATAAGGTAAAGTGTTATAAGAGGGTAACAATTGTCTCTTATCATATACAATTCTATACTTTTTCTCTAAAGGTTTGTTCACGAGCTCATGATCACGAGTCCTCTGGATTTTGTCGGGATAAGGGACTGTGACTTCCTCTATTTCTCCTTTGAGCATTTTTTCTAAAGTCTCTGGGCACACGATCTGGGAGGTACGATGGTTGAGAGTGATTCCTTTA